GTAAAACATGACATAATGAAGTATAGGCTGGTATGGAGAGATGGCTCCATAATTAGGAAGATAATGCTCTTCTATTGGACTCGAGCTTGGTTCCCAGCACACAACCAGTGAAACTGTGATTCAAGTCCCAAGGAACACAAAAATGCCCTCTTCTGGCCTCTGCGGCACCTGCACGCATCTGGTAAACATACAGACATGCATAAATAAATAAATCTTCAAATAATAAAATTAAAGTAAAAACAAAAATACCTGTCACTTTGCATATTTGAATTTTATAAAACTCTGAGCATAAATAGAAGGATAACATAAGTGAAAACATTACAAAGATTATGCAGCAATTAAAAATTCTAATGATTAGAAAATAAAAATTTATCCATATATGCTGTGGGAGCACATTCCACTCCTTCAGCCAATAGCATTTAAGATACCAGCCCACTTGTGCATGGTCTCTTATACTATAAATGCAGCTGCAAAGCGTGCATGCTCTCTCTCTTGCTCCCAGCTCTTGCTTCTGGCTGCTAGACTCTGTCCCCGTTTGTGTAGAGAGGACTGTTATCTAGGACAGTGATCTGTAAGTTTCCTTTAAATAAATAACCCTTTATTATTCATAATTCTGAACTGGTGTGGGATTATTTTGTGACTTCCACCTTCATATATATGGTGGCACCATGCCTTTATTCTAGCACTCAGGAGGCAAAAGCAGGAGGCTCTCTGTGAGTTCAAACCAGTCTGGACTACAGAGTGGATTCCAGACAAGCCAGGCCAACTAGGGTTACATAGTAAGATGCTTTCTTTAAAAATTTTTTAATTAATTAAAAATTAAGAGAATAAAGTTATAAAGCTAATAAAGTCTAGAGAGAATATTCTAGTATCAAATAGACAAACACACTAAGAATAATAGAATAAAGGGCCTATTTATATACATAAAAAGAAAAGTAAATTCATAGTGACTATATAAAAGCATAAAAATTATACTAGTAAAAATAACTATTTTTTCACTCAGAAATTTTAAAGATGATATATATCAAATGGTGGCAAAGTATTAACTTTCCCATTGTTATACTAGAAAATTAAGTTACATATTTTCTAGCTATATTTGTAAACTATGGAAGTTAGCTAGAAGTTACACCAGTGTATATCAAAGGACTACTTTCACACTAGCCATAATATAAAAATAATTTAAATATTCACTAACTTGTAATTTCATTTCATGTAATTTATTTCAAAAATTACAGTTCAATTAAAGGATTTATTAATTATGTAGAGAACATCTAATGACATACAACAACATTTACAAATACAAGAAGAACAGAAACAGACTTGTACACATTAGCTAAAGGAATGCTCACCCTATCTTTCATTAAGCAAATATTCTGATAGAAAATAAAGGAAGAACTATCAAATTATTTGGAGGTGGATACTTGTTACTCTGAAGATGAGTAAAAATTCCTTACTTTTCAAAAGCGATGCTGTGGACCTCAGTGTCTGGTTGCAGCATCTAGGAAAGACAAATGGGGCAGGAGCTCTACACAGAGAAGCAATAATTACTTGAGATAGATCAGGCTTATGGAGTGTTCAGAATGCAAGTGTCTGCTTTAGTCAGAGAAGCAGCCAGATATCGGGGCTCATGGGATGGGACGGAAAGATGAGAAATGAATCCTCGATAGCAGGCCTCCAGATTTGCTAAGCATTCATATTGAAGGCAGCTATAAAAGTTAAAGTACCCAAGGCAGAGCCTCTGCATGTTCAGAATTACCCCAAACACCCTTCCTTCAGTAGCAAGAGGCTTGGATTCAAAGGCTTGTGTTTGTCTAAATACAAGAGACAGATCCTCCTTTATAACAGTCTGAAGAATTTAAGAACTGTGACATTGTGAGTACCAGGAATTCTTTAAGCCCTTTAACTTTCTGGGATGATTTAAGTTGAGCTAATATTTACTTCTGTTCAGGGAAGTACACAAGGAATCAAGAAACTTTAGAGAAAATACCTGTGAATTCTTTTTCTTTTTTTTTTACTGTTGGTTCTTGTTTTAATTAATTCTAGACAGGTTCTCCGTATTCACATAGCAGCCCAATTTTGAGTTAACAAAATTTTATTAAATTGGACAAAGCCCTGTAGTTGGGCTAAAGGAAGTGTTGAAGTGAGGACAGCCAGATAAGTGGGGTTGGCCCCTCCTAGTTACTGCTTTAGGATCCCCTTTTCTCTAGGCCACTGCTCCTTTGCCCAGGGGGCAGTGAGGCCCTCCCTGCTTTGACCTTCAGGTGACATTGCACCTTTTTTTTTTTATAGCAACAACTGCACTCTAGTGATCATACTCTGTCAATGATATGTTTACTGATTCCCTCTACTGAGCTTCCTTTAGATTACCCCTAGATTATCCTTAATTGACTCTCATACTCAAGTTGTCAAACGCCCATTGCTCTTCTGCACTGGAAGTCTTAAATATTAAAGACAATGTTATTTATCTGGCTGCTGAGTCAGATAAAGAAAAAGCAAATGCATAGTCAATGGGCACATACCATAACTAATATGATTTAAAATTGCATCATTGTTGTAGAAATAAGGTTCTTTCTGATGGTATTTCCTTTTTCTTAATCTTTCACAGTTGAAAGTAAATTCTATAGTGCTTTTTTCTATCAGTATTGCAGCCAACAAAATCGTCATTATCCCACAATTATCATGATACACAGAGACCAAGAATAAACACATTCTTAATGTATGTCCCCCTACATCTATACAAGAATTACAGCAGTTCCCATAATCTTTGCTTACTTAATGGGAAGAAGAAATGTTCAGAGAGTACACTACGAACAATAAGACAATGGCATCAGTTATTTGACAAGATAGAAACTTATGAAAATGGCTAAAATTTCTCCCACTCTCACTGCAAGTCCTTAGAAGAATAAAGAAAACAGAGGTTGGTAATAGCCATAGAAATGAGAATACTGGGAAAGCTCGGTTAATAGCTACAAAATAACAGATGAAAGGAATACATTCTATTAGGGTGACTATAGTTAATAATATTTCAAAATAGCCAGCAGAGATGTTAATGATCTCATCACAAAGAAATGATAGATGTTACAGTGATTTCTATGTTAATTACTTCCAATAGGTCATGAAAGATGTATACATATATTAAAATATATACTCTGTATATGTTTATACACATTTGTATATGTCAAAATTTTTAAAATAAAAAAATAAGTTGAAAAAAACTAATAGATCAAATGCCTTGGAAGTTATACTTACCTAAATAAAATCTAGTTTTCAACATTTTTAAAACTTTGAACTGTGTGGATACAGTGAGGCTTTGTGTGGCAGGGAAAGAGAGGAAGAGAGGGGCAAAGCAGCTTCAGCATCACTACACTGTTCCCTGCTCATTTTCTTGCTCATGCCTTCTTACTTTACACTCAGCTGCTCTCTCCCATCAGGATCAAGTCAGAAATTTGATCTTTGGCTTTAAAAGCTACGACAGGTCCAGAGAAACATGCCAGGATTCAGGTTAGCTCAGAAGCACTTTGAATCATTCATTCATAATTAATACATTGAGAATAACCTAGAGATTTTTCAGCTAGATATTTTTAATTTTGAAAGTTTTAATACTTCTTCATATTTACTACATTTCTCTGTTCTTAGATTCTACTCATTAGTTTATCTTGACTGAAAAGAGCTTCAAATTCTTTAGGTGTGCTCCCTGATAAAAAATAACCTCAAAGATACCTTTAAAAGATAACTGATTATTCTTTCTCTCTCTGTCTATATGTGTGTGTGTTTCATAAAACATATACTAGACAAAATTATATTGGTTTTATACATATAGATATTTAGAGATTTAACCATAAATAATAGATTTATAATATATAATATAAAACATTATTTATTATATGTCAATATAATATATATAAATCTACTTATGTATAAATATGTAATGAGACTATAATATACATGAAATTACTTACAAAGAAATAATCATCTATGTACTTATATACTTATATTCATGAAGAAGTGTGTGTGCATGTGTGTCTGTACTGAGAAAAGTCCCAGAAGAATTTCTTCTAGAAGAAAACAGCATTAGAAAACATTCTGAGCCTAATTATAGTCAATTTTGTCAGTATAAATTGTTAATGAATCTTTCTTGGACAGGATAAAGTAAAATTCTTTAAGTAGTATAGCTGTACATGAGTTCTTACTTGAAGGAAGCCAAAGCCCTGCTAAGGTTAAAAGGCCAGAAGGAGTGCAGCGCAATAACAATCCAATGGAACAGACAGCCACAGCATTACTGGCTGAGCTGTTAAATCAGACGTATTGTATTCCCATTCGTCACCCTTCTTTACAGGCTACAACCAAGCATTCAAAGTGATGTCCTGATGATGCAAAAAACAACACCCAAATCAGTTTGGAGATCATCTGGGGAACACACCCAAAGTCAGTAAACATCACAAAGCCCGGGTTTCCAGGCTTGCTTTGCTCTTTACGGGGATGACAACATAGGCTGCTGACAAATACATTCAAGTGTACCTCACTGTCTCATTTAAAAAGTTTGACTACTTTCTGGGAAACATTTCAATGTGTGAGCAATATATATGTGTATATGTATATGTGCATATATATATATATATATATATAATTTCAAAATATCATAAACATCCCTCCACATAATTGACTGAACGGGGCCTTATTCTTGTCAAGTCATTGTCTTCTAATATTCTCTTTCTGAATACAGAAAAGTAATGTTGCCAGTAGTCTCATATACAATTAAGATGTTATGATCTGTATTCATAAAAGAGAAAAATTTTAAACAAATAATTTGCTTTTCTGGATCCATTTTAATTATGATCTGTAAATTGAAGCCTGCATTTCAAGGGTTTCCACTTAATTTTAGGTGATCTGTACTTAATTGTAATGGATTCTTAAAAGAACCTTTCATAATTCTATAAGCGCACAACTACTTACTATATCTCAATAATATATGGCACTGAATTTACCAATGAGAGTCTTACCCCTAGGTATAACAAGATTCCATAGAAGATGAATTTCCATAAAAAGCATCGCCGAAGAGCGTTGATAAGCTTGGGATTCTTCTTTGACGCTTGTTCCCTGTCCCATTCTCTGCAAAGAATAAGAAAGTGGGCTCAATGAGCTGCAGCTGCAAGTCTCTGAGTTGCTCTAGTTCCCTTCCAGAATCCATCCACAAGTATATGTGTTCAAGATTAACACAACACGATGACAGGACCAAACCTTGTGAAGTCTCTCCAGCGCCAGCTACTCAGTCAGATATCTGGCAGAATTTGATGCTCTTCCATGTAATCACTCTGCAGAGCTTCAATGCATGAAACTATCCAATTGTGGATGTTAGGGAAACGTACTGGGCTTCTTCAGAGTGATGGCAAGGGTGACCAAATGACAGATCACACTTAGAATGCATCTGTGCTCAGAATAAGATGCAAAAGTAGATATTCTAAGTTCCCTCGATCTCATGCTATTTATGTTTTTAACTGTCACAGATTTCACAATATTCAACTTTTAAAGAAAATCACAAATTAAAAAAATCAGGCAGATTTTTTCGTTTTACATTTTTTTTAACCTTTTACTTTCCTCGCTCCAATGCCTCCTCTGTCCCTCCTCCTCATTCCTTCTCAAATCCATGTCTCTTTGTCTTTGATTGTAACATGTATTACTGTAACATATAAATGCAACCTTCTGAGTCCTTGTAGTGTTGCCTGTGCACATGATTTCAGGGATGACCCTTGGTATGGGATAGTCCATTAGGGAGCACACCTCTGGGAAGGACCATTTCTCTCTCAGTTACCTTTAGTTCTTTGTCTAGGGGTGTGGCTCATGGAAGAAGGGGCTGAGCACTTTAAGAGCCACATTGCTAGAAAGTGGACTGTCAGATGTGGCACCTAGAAATGACAGGGAAGCTACGCCCTTGATACTTCAACAATCTGGTTGCCTAAAACAGACCTAAACAATCACTACACCAACTGACATACTAATGAAAAGGGACCATCAGGTGAATGTTTTAATGATTTAACAAAAAAAATCTATTTGGATTTTTAAAGAAAAAGCATGAAAATATCATCATTAAACTTCAGCATCCAACTACTGAAATCATTTAATAGTCTGTAAGTCTTTGAAAATAGAGCAGAATAAAAATATGTTTTATAGCAAGGATAGGTACTAAATAGTATTGACGAACTAGCTGAAGTGTAACAGCTGAGTTTCATTTTCAGTACTCCTAGAGCATCAGCTGGTTGTTTTAGGTTGTTGCCATTGCTGTTTATTAAGAAAAGCACTTTTTAATTTTTTCAATGGAATAAAAAAATGTCTCAGTGTTGCCTTTATCTTAATTTTCAAATTGTTCTGAGATGGAAAAATTCCATGAATCACAGAAGAACTGAATACTTAAAGGCCATTCCACCAATGGCTATTACTATTATTAAGTTGTAATAACTAAATCTGGTTTGATATTACTTTAGAGGAAGAAAACACAACTGATTTTGATGAAAAGCTTGTCAGTCTCAATATATGCACCATGACTTCCCTGAGAAACTTGCATTATAATGGCAGCCTATCCATAAAGTGAAGCCAACCCATGGTCCTCTTCATTCACATACATGAAGCTTGTTTATCTGTGAAACTTAGTGAATCAAAATAGGGAACAAAATAAGTGTATAGCAACAGCACATTCTCCATGCAAGAAACAGGGCTCATTAAAAATTCTCATTTATACTTCAATTAGAACTTAGTGATCAACTATCTAGGAAATGCAGAAAAGGGATTGCCCATAAACCAAACCAATGGTTTCAAGATAAAGATACCTATAACAGTGAAGTAACAAGTACAAAAAAAAAAGTCACATTTGGTAAGTAAGAAGTCTCTGGAATCCATCATCAATGCAGTTTTAGGAACATAGTCAAAATAGAAATTATAATTCAATAGCTGAGATAAAAATGGATGATAAACAAGTGAAGACCAGAGCACCAAAGAATTGTCAGCTATGAAATGGGAGGATGTGGTGACTTGATAGAAATGGAAGCTGTTGTTTTAATTGGTGAAATTTGAATAATTTGTAGCTATCGAAGAGGAATTAGCAACAAAAGTAGATGGTATTGATCCAGCAGTACGTTAAACAGGCGTAATGAGGGCAAAGAGCTCTAGACTTACGAAATTCAAAAGTTGGTAAGGAACATAGAGTGGGCGTGTGGTTTTCATACTATAATGATAAAGATTATTCAATTTCATGGCCACAAAAGTGAATCAGAGGAGTCAAGGTACTTCTAGCAACAAACTGAAAACTTGGACCACTTCCCAAGGGTGCAAAGGAGTAGTTTCAATAAACTTCTAACAAAAACTATGATGAAGAGATATTAAATTACAGCAACAATTATAAATTATAGAATTTGTTATTAGAATGTATATCTCTGTTCTGAGACAAAGAGGTTGAATTAAAACAAAACAGATGTATTTTATAAATTTGGGGATAAAAGAAAAATAGAGTGAAGATGGAAGGGGTGAGGGAGGGGAATGATGGAGGGAAAGGGGAAGGAGGGAGAAGAAGAAAGAAGGGAGAAGATGGGTGGGGAAAAGAAGGAAGAGTTATCATTTTGTGGCATAGAAAGGTATAAGCCTAGAGTTCTGAGAGGTCCACCTGAGAAGGACGTTAGTCTAAGAAAATAAGCCAGCACAGGGCACACATCACAGAAGATAACTGTGCCCTAGGACTCGTTGACTCCTTGGGCTAGTTCTCTACCTAGACATTCACCTAGCTTCGGTTTCATGAGCTATTAAATGTCCTCTTTTTAGTTGATAAACCTAGTTGATTGGGCTTCTGTCACTCACAATGATCCCAACCAATACTCAAAAAGGGGAACTATGATAAATTCACCAGAACTGAATTGTATAGCTTCATCATTCAGTGGTTGGCAATTTATATTATCTCTAAGTTGTGAGTTGCTTTTCCTTAGGCTGAAGATAATTATGGTTTTCTTCCAGAGTGGTCAAGATGAGAAATTGTTATGTGATGGACCATGAAAAATTATGAAAAGTTTAAATTTTTGATAGTCAGTAGCTATTACCCTAAGGTTTCTGTAAAGTCTAATGGCATTCACACATTCAGATCTTCAAGGTGACACTTCCAAGTGCTCACCACCAGCAAACTACACAAGACCTGACTACAGTTTGCAGGAATTTTGCTCCATGTGCCCAGACAACACATCTTTGTGCAGTAAGCAGGGAAGTTGGTTACCATTTCTTAGTCCCTTCGTCCACCTACTTTGCCCAAAATTTTCTGCAGCAGCCCCACAAATGGAAATGACATTCTCAACACTACTGAGACTTAGTCTTCTCATGAACATTATAGATGCCTTACTGGAAAATGGTGACATAAATATAAAAGAGGAAGGAACACAACAAACCGCTTAAATGTCTAAGTTCCAACACAGAAACAAACTCAACATAAAGATACCTTGTTTCCTCCTCAAATTACTAATCCCACGATAATGGCACCCAAAAAAGAAAACATGGAAAATTATAATTATATTCAAACAACTGATAAAAAACATAAATATGCTACAAAAGATCAAAGGGATTAATAAAATAAAGAAGTCAATACAAGACATAATAATAGAATAATATATATAATAATAATAATGATAATCATAATAATAGAATTGCTAAGAGGAAAAAATCCCAACTGAAATGATTCTAAAAATGAAAGAAAAATTACTAATACAAATATAAATCTGAGTATGAAGTCTCAAAAGTAGACTAAATCATGTAGAAAACAGAGAATTGAGGCTGAAGATAAGATACAGGAATTGGATTACTCAGTAAAGTAAGCAATGAATCTTAAAAATAAATATGACCATAATATATGAAACCTCTGGAGCTCCATAGTAAAGACTTTGTAAATACTGTAAATATAACCATATAAGAAAATTTGCCAAACCTAGGTACAATTTGCCTATCTAGGTACAAGAGGCCTTAGAGATTACCAAATAGACAGGGCCACAAAAGAATTCTCACCACATATTATGGTTAAAACATTAAACATTAAAACAAACAGGATAAAGAGGGTGAAAGAAAAAAATTTCAAGTCACTTCTAAGGGCTGGGCCATCAGAGTATTCAAGTTAACTTTTCTTTTAAGAATGTAGTTATTTTTTACATTTTAAATTAAAATATACTTATATCAATTTGCTCTTTCCTCTCTCCGGCCCCTCAAGTCCCTTTCATCCGATTCTTTCCATTACCCTATACCTCACTCCCAAATTAGTAGCCTTGCCCTCCCAAATTATTATTTCTTCTAAATCCAGAAAGACTTGGGAAAGTATATTCCAAGTTTTAAAGCATAACTGGAAACTCACACTATTATATCCAGCAAAATTCTATTAAAATTTAAAGAGAAATAAATCCTTCCCATAATAAAAAAAATTTAAGGAATTTAAATTTTATAAGGAAAAAAAATTTAAGGATATCGGAAGGAATACTAGAGTCTGAAATCAAAATAAACAGAGCTCACAAGAAGTCACAGGGAATAAAGAATTTCAGGCAGTTAATCAAAAGAGGTCTAAAAAACACCATAAAGCAACAAAATGACAGATCTTAATAAATATCTTTCAATAAAAACTGTTAATAATTTCAACTACTCAATAGAAAGATACAGGCTATTGGCTAAGATCAGCAAACAGGATCCATCCTTTTTCTGCCTCCAAGCAGCACACATCACAGTCAGCAATAGATATTGGCTTTGGATGATAGCCTGAAAAAGTTATTCTAAGCGGAGAGAACTAAGAAACAAGCAGGCATACATAGTCTAACACCCGACAAGATAAACTTCAAAACTACTCAAAAGAGACAAGGAGAGTGACAATTCACACCCATTAAAAGAACAGCCCATTAAGAGGATATCACATTTAGATATTACAATTCTAAATTCATACATATCAAACAGAAGCACACCTAGTCTCTTTAAGGAAAAAAAAAGAATGATTTCAAACATCAACTTCACCAATAGGTCGTCTGGACCAAAAAAAAAAAAAAAAAATGAACAGAGAAACTTTGGAGTTAAAATGGCATCATAAATCAAATGGACCTAACAGACAACTA